CATGATCCCAGGGTCCTGGGATCGAGTCCCACATCGGGCTCCCTGCTCAGCGGGAAGCCTGCTTCTCCCTCTCCCACTCCCCCAGCTTGTGTTCCTGTTCTCGCTGTCTCTGTCATATAAATAAATAAAATCTTTAAAAAAAAAAAAAAGAAATCTTACCTGCCACAGAGCAGGAAATGAAAGTCTAGGTCGGGTTTTCAACCTCAACCAGACACTTGGCAAAAGAATCCCTGACCCAAAAAACATTAGGTCTTTATTGAGCAGGAGGCCTCAGCTTAGACTTCTTTTCCCACTATGAACTCCTCTCTAGGGTCTTTGAGGGTCATTTTTAAAAATGGCCTCTGTTCAGTGCTGCTTTCCCCCCAACTCCGACCCCCTGGGTGGAGTTCCCCAACCTGAATGGTTCTGAGCACAAAGTCTGAAAAAGGCTGCTTTGGTTTGAGTCTCAGCTTTGCCCTTGCAGTGGTGGGACCCTAGTCAAGTTACTTCAACTTTGTAAGTCTCAGTTTGCGCATCTGTAAAAAGGACATAATAATAAAATCTTCCATACCGCCAGCTCATGCTGGGAGAAATCAGACAAAATACAGTCCTTCCATCAGTGCTACAGGAATTCAAGTGACACAGGATCAGATTCCTGATAAGCTTTGTCCTTAATACATTTTAATGAAACAAACGACTGAGTGGATTTACATTTCAAAGCATCCATCCCACTTTATGGAAAGAAAACAGTGAGAGACAAATAGAAATCAGACATATCAGTCTGAGTCTGGATCAGCCCCAGGACCACTGGGGATCCCAGACAGTATTTCAGACTGTTTCTGGAACCTCAGGAAAAAATATTACAATTTGACAGGACTAAGGGTCTACTGGAATCTTGCACAGCAGGTGGGGTAACTTTGGAAGCCAGACTCCCCTTTTTTCATAGATGGGGAAACTAAGGCCCAAATAGTTTGATCAGCTTGTTCAAGGCTACTCTGTCAGTTACTGGCAGAACTGGGCCTGAACTCAGGACTTGGTCCTGCCCTCTGCTGCCTCCCTTAGGTCTCCACAAGGGCAGATTCTCCATCTTCTTTGTTCATCAGGAACTATATACTTAACCCATGTGGTGAGGAAAAGAATGTGATATATTAGTATAAACTTTATTCTAATCTTATATGCCTTTAGGTATGTTCTTATGTCATTGTAATCAGATTCCAAAATGAATTTGTGTTTTCTTTTTCCTGGAGTATTTCATATTTTCATGGAGATACTAACTGTGCTTGTTGGATTCTTTAGGATTGTACTAATTGCAATTATTATAAAACCATGTAAGAAAAAGGGCGATGTATTTTGCATGACTGAAGAACTGAAGAAACTTCAGCTTCAGGCAAAGATGGTTCCAGGTGTTCAAAGGATGTCATTAGGAAGCTGTCTCTGTATACAGCGGAGATGAGATTCCCTCAGTGTTGGCTCCACCTGCAGGCCAACGCTCTCTATGTCATGGCCTTTGGCCGATTTACATGGTCACAGGTCCAAGTCCAGAAGCAAAACAAGCGTCCTCTTTCCCAGATCAGTGAATTCCTGAGTGTAATCTCATTGCCTGGCTTGGCTTGTCTCGGGCACGGAACACTGATCGATCAGGTCGGTCAGGTGCCACTCCTGGGTACTGAGATGTCACCCCTATCAAGACCACATGGCTTGGTGAAAGGGCATGATTACCAAAGGAAAATCAGGGTGTTGCCACCAGAAGAAACAGAAACAAATATGGGACAGGCAAAGGTGACTGTTTGTGACCCCTGCCATCCTAGTAGCTCTGTGGATGACCATGGCGTTCTTCATTACCCTGGCACTTAGGTTGCTTCCAAAGAGCAACCAGATGCTCTGGGTTCAAATCCCACATCTGCTTCTATATAGCTGTGACCCTCGGGCAAGTGTCTTCATCTAACTTTGCCTCGGTTTCCTCAGATGTGAGGTGGAGACAGCAACGGTACTCGCTCATAGGCCTGTTATGAGGATTAGAGGTGCTAATAATACATGTAAAGCATTTATATCAGCCCCTGGCATATATTAAGTATCCATACATGTTAGCGACTATTACTCATTACTATAAAGAGCATTGCTAAAAAAGCAAACTTCTAATTTAGATAATTAAGTTCACTCTCAGTGTACTTCCTTAGACTACATTCCTGTAGGTGGAATTTTCTGGTCAAAGCTCCGTTGTGCTTCTAGCTCCTGTTATTTGCTGCCAGGGCGCTCTGGGCAGCGCAGAGCCAACAGCATGCCCTTGTGCCGCTACGATCCTAGCGATCTCAAGCCCTCTAGTCCTGCACTTTCCTTTCAGAGCAAACAGACTAACGGGAGCACACACGGGATGGGGATGACCGGAGAGCAGCCTGGGACTGGCTGCGCTGTCCCACCGAGGCTCCTCCGTCTTCCCACCGCCCAGCTGCTCGCGCATGCGCCGTCTCTCTCCTCCATCCCCATCTTGCTGCCTTTTCCGGGGCTTCAGGTGCCCCTCTTGAGACCTGTGCCTAGTGCCCTCTCCCATGCTCTCCAGCTGCCAGAACTACTCCGAATACCCTGACACTTTTCTTATATCGAGCAACGTTAAGTTTCTTTCCTCCATCCAAACTAGGTGTGGGACCTACCTCTGCACGACCAAAGGGAACTTCCCGAATCCAAATCAGGCCCCACGCTCCTAAGAAAAACGTTGTCTTGCCTTAGATGTGACTGCGGTCATTTCCTGTTTTTTCTTTTCATCGGCAATTCCCGCTGCCCTGCTGATGCTGAGTGTTTTTAAGTCTTTCAGCAATGAGGTTTCAAAACTCAGCAATGTCTGAGGGAACTCAGTGCTATGGGAGCTAATGAGCTATATAATAAGGTCCTGGCCCTTGAAGAGCTAACAGTTTTGGTTGGAAGGCAGAATTAACATCCTTGGCATACGGGAGGCCAAGTTTTCCCAGGGAAGTCGGGCTTCGGGAACCTGGGAAGACAGCGAGGAGTCTTCCCCTTGAACTTCTGGTCCTCTAACCCCCTTGTGGGAAGAGGCAGCATCCCCTGGCTGGTTAGAGATCCACCCTCGGACATTTAGAGTTGGTGACTTCAGCGACCCTGCAGTGTGGCATCTGCTTCCTGCCTTGAGGGATCCTGGGGTCCAGCAACCCCACGCAGACCGCAGGATGAGGCTCTAAAGGCTGGCGCTGCTCCCTGTCTACGTAGCATGCTTGCAGCAGCGGCAGCCCGCTGGGCATGAGGGAGGAGGAGCCAAGTTCATGATGCCCGAATGCATCCCAGAGGCATCAGTGAAAACAAAGATGACGGCCTCCAGGGCATTTCTCCTGGTGCTGCTGGTCGTCCCCAGATGACAACCCCAATCAAGAGCCAGGGGCCAGTTTCAGCAAGCACAGGAGCAGAAGAGAAACCAGGGAGTGAGCGATGAGGTCCAGTCAGGTATCCATGCATTCTTTCTACCTGGTGTGCACAGGGATGCACACTCACCACTGGGAAGCTGGTCTTGCTGAGAGCCAGACTGCAGCCTGTGATCCAACCTGGGGCCCTGCGCAGGGTGCAGACCTCATTTCTCCTGGGATAGGGGCTCCCCACACTGACACAGTCTTATCTAAGACTGCTTTCATGGAGCCAACAGTCTAGTGACGGAGACAAACATTAATCAGATGCCTCCAGTGTTTGAAATGTGTATGAAAATGTCCTCCTGTGTTTCTCAAGTAAACACAATACCACAGAGATTTTTTTTGAGAGAGCGACCAAGCACGTGCATGCACATGAGGGAGGCGGGCAGAGGGAAAGGGAGAGGGAGAGGATCTTAAGCAGGCTCCACGCTCAGCATGGAGCCCAATGTGGGGCACGATCCCACCACCCTGAGATCATGACCGGAGCTGAAATCAAGAGTCAGATGCTTCACCGACTGAACCATCTAGGTGCCGCACACCGAGAATTTTTTTTAAGGCAGAAGTACAGGGCATAGGACAGGACATCCAGCTCCATCCAAGGGGTTGTGGAGGGCTTCCTTAAGTGACATGGGAGGTGGCTTGGGCAATGAGATGGGCAGAGCACTGCCGCCAGAGGGAGCAGCCCCTGCACCAAGACTGGGAGTGAGAAGTCCAGTATGGCTGGGATGTAGACAGAGTAGCCAGAAAGCCTGTATAGGAGAGAGGGTCACATGCTGTACCTTACACACCAGCTCAAGGACTCTGGACGTTTCCTAAGAGCCCTGAGAAGCCCCTGAAGGATGAACAGGCCTCAAGAATGGCATAAGCTGTGTGTGTGTGTGCGCACGCGCACACACTTAAAAGAGTGCTCTAAGCATTCTGTAGAAAATGGGTTGTAAGGGACAGACATGCATAAGGGAAAATTAGCTAGGTGGTTGTTGCAATAATCCAGGCGAGAAAAGGTGGTATCCTGGATAAGCATGGTAGAACTGTGGATGGAAATAATGGGCAAATGAAACACAGGTAGAAGGTGGAGTCAGCAAGACATGAAGCTTGATTGTGGGTAGTCCAGGTGAGGCCCAGGTTTGGGGCCCGACATCGGAGGAATGTTCCTGCCACTTATTGAGATAAGGGGTGGTGAGGGGGGTTTGGGTAGGGGGACGTACTCGGTGACGACACGTTGAATCGGCGGTGCCAAGAAGACAGTCAAGTAGAATTCTCCAAGGATCAGCAACTTTGAGAGATTTCAGAGGCAGAGTCTGATGGGGAAATAGTGCCAAAAAAGAAAGCCGGGCACAGCGAAAATAACAAAAAAGATACCAGACCTTGAACCTTGACCGGCAGCGCTGAGGCAGGGCGGAGCGAGCCAGCCCCTTCTTGCTCACCTGGAGCCTGCTCCGGGCTAGGTGGGAAACTCAGGCAGCAAGTATAGCTGAATAATGCAAGGCTGGGGGTACCAGCCACACCCTGAGAAAGTCTGTGTGTAACTCCTGACCCCACAAAGTTTAACTACTAACGGCCTATTGTTGACTGGAAGCCTTAGTGATAACATACAAAGTCCACTAACACATATTTTCTATATGCATTTACTATATTCTTACAATAATATATTTTTCTTAAAATTTTCAGCGTTTCTAGGCTACAGGATTCACCTGGAAGTTTTTGCAAATTGTTGGAACTCCCCCCAAATTTTTCCAATGTACTTATGGAAAAAAAAATCCACGTGTAAGTGGACTGCAGTTCAAGCCCATGTCGTTCACAGGTCAAGTGTACTTGGCTGAGGAATCTGCAAATGAGCAACTGTGAATGAACTGTACAGAGACAGCAAGAATCCCAGTGGAGAAAGCCAATCTTCTGGGCAGCGGCTGGCTGGCACCCGGGCAAGGCAGCTGGTGTGAGATCACCGCGCATCGGGCCATGTACAGCTTCTCAGCGCCGGCACATCTGGTCCGTGGCCAACATACGAGAGGTGCCAGCAATGCTAAGAAACCTCTGCGGAAAAGAGCCTCAAACCCACTGATCTTGAAAAGAGGAGCAAAAAGAAAGGCTTCACGTTGAAGACAGAACTACAAACGTAAATGCAACCGGTTTGCCTACCGACATCACAGTGGAGGCCTTTATACAGCTTCTAACTTGGCATGATTATGAGATCCCCGGACAGAATTTATGGTCAAGTTTTACAAAGATAAACCAAGGGAATCTTAAAGCAGATGGGCTTTGCAGTTATTTGAAGAGGGACTCTGGAATGTGCAGTAATGCTTTTGGATGAAGATCAAATTAGAAGCTAGAAATCGCATAGTGAGGGAGCTCAGTTTCAACGGGAGGGGAAGAGGGGGCATCAGCAAGGAAGAGGTGCGAGCACCACAGGTAGGGGCTGGCTCTGTAATAAAAGCAGTTGGACTGTTGGAATGCTTGTGGAATGCCCCAAGGGGGAGTGCTCATCACCAAAATGTTTCATCCCATGGATTCTGAGCTGGTGTTGATCAAGGTCAGAAAAAACCTTGGAGACTGTTCAAAGCTTGGGCCAGTCACGAAGCTCCTTCTCTTGGAGAGACACCCAGATGTCTTGAGGAAACTATCTGTGCACTCAAACCTTCGATGGAAGGTGTCTGGTGGCCATCGATTCCCTGTCAAAACATGGGATGGGACTACAGATGGCCAGGCTGAGAAGACCCCAAGAGGGAGGGAGGAACGGCTGAGAGAAGGGAAGTCTTTCTTCAGTGTCCCGAGGCCAATGGAGGTGTTCTGTGTTCAACTTCCATCTTTGCTCCAAAAGGCGAGGCTTTCTAAAGTAAGGCATTTCCAGAGCACCCGAGCACATCTAGGATGAATGCTCTAGAAGCCACAACTAACATGGCATGTAAAGAATCTAGACATGGAAAGATATTCGAAAAATGAGAAGATGGGGAGATTTTGAAGATGCTTCTGAAAAAAATGCTAAAGAACGTGGTCCCAAAAGAATCTGAAGAAGGCAGTTCCAAAAGTGATGAGAACAGTCTCGAAATACCTCAAAAAAGACTCCGAAGAAAATGGCTTTGAAAAAAGTCTGAAGGTGACCCTGAAAATCTGAAAAGGAAGACGTCTTGAAAAGAGAATTAGAAGATTGCTCTGAAAAGGATTTTGAAGAGGGCTCCAAAAAAATAACTAGAGGAAAATGGTGTTGAAAAAAAAGCGGAAGGAACGGTCCTGAAAGCTGAGCATCTGGGGATGGCGGCTCTGAGGGAGTGTCTGGTGGGGAAGGCTGTGGGAATTCAGATGAGGAGGAAGGAGATGCACACAGGGAAGTGTGTGATGATGCAGCAGGTGGAAAACAGGAGAAAGAAAAGGCAGATGGAAAAGGGTTTGGAGATGCTGAGGAAGAGGGAGGCGGCGGCGGAGCAGGGGACAGGCTGCTCAAGGATGAGGGTGCCAGCTCGAAGGAGTGTGATGAGCAGAGTCCGGGGACAAGCTGTGCGGCCAGTCCGACAAGGGGACTATGGGTGGCACTGGGGACGTTAAGGAAGGACGGCCTCTGTGCACAGGCAGTGGCTCCATCCTCGGAAGTGATGGGGAGGAGGAGGAGGAGATTTAATCTCTTAAACCTGATTTCAGGGAGACCCCCTCCTGCTACAGGCGCCTTCACTCAGGGTAATTATTAGTAGTGTCACGTGAACGCATCAGAGTGGCGCTGGGAGACTTTCACGGTAACCCCCATGCAGTGACTTTACAAATGGGTTAACTTCAAAGCCATCATGCATGCACGTACCAAAAAAAAAAAAAAAAAGAGAGAGATGGAAGAAAAAAGTCCAAACACAGCACTACAACAGTGGCTATCAAATATTCAACCTTCCTACGAAAAAACAGGAATTCCCAAGTTGAGTTATGAAATAAAACAGAAGGAAAAAACTATGCCACGCCAGGAGGACTGTTTGAGAACAAGATACCCACAAAGGTTGAACACAGGGAGATGGAAAGACATCAGAAGAGAAAAGCAAGCCCGGCTGAATAATGCCCTCGTGGGAACAGAATTCAGGGTAACCAGCGGACGGCTGAAATGCTGGATCGGCCGTAGGACACCCCGTCCTACCCGACACTAACTATCTCCAGCTCACTCTGTTGTAATTTCCTTTTATTACGGGATCATCTCTTCACAGGTGCAGGCAGTGCCCGTGCCGTGGATGAGGCGCGAAGCGTCACTGCCCGAAGTACCAAGGAGGCGTGCAGTCGATGGGCTCTTCCTCCCAGATGGTTTTCAGCCGCTGGGCCCAGGACGCCACCATGGCCTTCCTCTCCTCTTCTGACGCAATCTCGGGAGCAAAACTGATCTGCGGGGCGAGGATTTTAAATCCACAAAAGTGCAGTGCCCCATGCTGCAGCCACAGAGAGAGCAGAGAGCTGATTAGAAGCCGAATCCTTTCTGTGTCATTCAGGTAAACAACTAAAGGGGGGAAATGACCTGAAATAAGCCTTCAAAAAATAAAAGAACAACTTCACTGCTACTAGGTCACCGAAGACAACTGAACTGCCCTGTAACCTTAAGATGCGGGCCCTGACAAGTGAGGTGAAGAACTTCGGGCAACTGGAAACTTCAGATCCTCACTGAAATGCATCTGTAATCTTCACTTCTGACTCAGACAGTAAACCTTATGGTTTTGATTGATTAGGCAAATTATGGTAGATTCATACAATGGATTATTCTAGAACGATGTGACATTATTGCAGCTATAGTGTATGTATATCCACGTATGGTTGTTCAAGATGTGTCCAGTAAAAATAACAAGAAATCTGAAGCAGTATTCGTGGTATACCATTTACGTAAAAACAAAAATAACCCCGATAATAAAAAATATACATATAAAAATAGGTCTGGGCCATAAGGAAATACATCAAATTATTAAAAGCAATTACTTTTAAGGGGGGATTAAGAAGACTTTCTATTTTTATATTTTATACATTCTTTTTTCATAATACATACTTCTGAAAACTGAAAAGAATATATAAAGATTTTTAAAAAACCAGAAAAATTTAAGCTTGGCTCATGACCCCTGTGGCGAGGGAAGTTCAGCCCTGTAAGTTATCACTTTCTCCTGCAGAACATCACTAAATCGAATCACTATTCTTTGAAAGACAACTCTTATTACAAGTATCACTCTCCCCTCTCTGCACTTCTTCCCTTAAAACCCATACCTCTGTCCAGGCTTGCCCTATAAGGGGTCACTGTCTACATCTTTAAAGCAAGCTCACAAACTGTTAAATATGTGATCTCCTCCCTGGACAAATGTCCCTTCATAACAGCCTGGAAGAATGGTTTGCATCTAGGTTTCTGAGTCTCCTGGAAACTCGGAGCCAGGTTGTGGCCACCTGACCCAGACAGAGCCTGCTTCCTTTGCCCCGACCCCCAGCTCAGTCCCTCAGCAAGGGGTGCACCCCAGCCTGCTTGCATATGCTTTGCCCCCCGCTGTCCCCTTCACAAACGGCCCAGGGGTGCACAGAGGCAGCACGGTGTCTACCTGAGAGAGCAGAGCCAGAGTCCTGGGAATCCGGGGAGGGGTGTGGGCTCTGGGGACGGGACACAGCCCCTGGCTCCAAGAACCCATCACCTGTGGGAGGTGTCAGACTATCTGGACTGCCGGCCCTGGGGCACCTCTTGCCAGGGTCCTGGGATGTCACAAAGCGCCGCCAGTCGGTGTGGACAGGGCCCCCGGTGCTCGGCACACACGCAGGGCCACCACGGAGCAGACGTCGGCTAACCAGGTTCGGCTTAGCTTCCACGCAACAAACTCAAAGGCTATCGTTATCATAAATATGTGTTTTCCCTATTGGCCCACTTTTTCAGTGCTACGTAAGGCATTTGAAAGGGCAAAACGTTCTAACTTCTTGTATTCAGGTGGAGTCAAAATGGTCTGGGTTTCAGGCTTACATCACATCTTATTTGACACCCAGGGGAGCTGCAGGGGTAGCGGAGGGGGTGGGGGGTGCAGGGGGTACCTGGAGGGGCCACAGGAAGTATCGGAAATCTCCGCTGACTCCGGTTCTTGTGTACATCTCGGCTGTGCCCCCCGTGGTTAACGAGAGGAGGGCCAATTTACTCTGCAGAGGAGCAAACAAATCCATGTGATTCCGGCCCCAAGGTTTAGACCAACCAGGAGGGAGAGTCTGAGGTCAGTCCCTCCAGGGATGGACGTGTGAGAACACTCTCCTCTGGCACGCCCGGCTCCAGGGGGGCAGCCACAGCCGGCGGGGACAGGGGAGGGCCTGGCCCGAGTGAACACGGGGCTCTGGTGCGCCCCGACTTCTGGTAAAGAACAGGGGGTGGTGCCGGGTGCGGACGGGCGAGGCCCAGGTGCCGACGGCCGCGGCTGCTGTGAGGGCAACCGAGGCAGCGCACGGCCCCTGGCCCAGGACCATTCTCACGGAATGGTGGCCTTACTTCACCATCCACGACGGAACATGTGACTCTATGGTTTCCTTACGTGCACTTACTTTCTGAGGCTTTCAGAATTAAGACATTATTTATTTCAGTAAGGAATGAACTTAGTAAGAAACTCAGAGCTACTGTGACTGTGCACGGTGCACCCACCGGGTTCCATGCAGTGCTCACCCTGCAACACGCGTGTCATATTATCCTGTTTTTCAAGGAGGAACGTGAAGCTGCGAGGTGAAGTGCTGTGAGGCCACGGCTCAATTCTGCATCACAGTGCAGACACCCTCTCCCGAGCCGGAGCTGACACCGTGGGGCCCACTGCAGCCCTCCCGCAACACCAACTCCATGCCCTTCTTGGCCACTTGTGTAGTTTGTGGTGGATGTGTCTATCTCCCTCACCAGACAAGAGCCCCATGACCTCAGAAACTGCTTTTCTTACCCAAGTACAGCACACGGGGCTTTGCACACAGTTGGTGGCTCAATCACTATTTGCTGATAAAAAAGCAAACTACAAATAGGACTTGAGGAGATGCCCCCCACCAGTACACAGGGATCCTTATCCCAGGGTACGTACCTTGAGAAAACCGGAATCGTAGAATCCTGGGATGTCAAAGGCAAAGCCCTGACACAGTACCCTGTCCATCCAGCCCTTCAGGATAGCCGGCATGCCGAACCAGTACAGCGGGAACTGGGGACATAAGACCAGGGAGACGGATGCTGCGGGCTGCCTCAGGTTGCAGATCTGCTGATCCAGAAGGAATCCCACTGTCTTCCTCTTCCCGGGTGCTGGGCAGGCGAGTATAGCCGGGGAGCGGCGCGAGCGGGGACATGCAGTGTGGACAGGGTGATGGTGGGGTGGGGGGGCAGAGCTGACCATGGTCCTGGTTGCTGTTACAGGTGGCTCTGTGTCCCCCAGGGACAGCCCCTTAGGCTGGTCCTTGAGCAGGTGGGGGGTGGTGCTAGGAAGTTCTGCTGGACACTGGCTCAGCGGCAGCAGTCCCTGTGACTGATCCAATCAAGGGGCACAAGAGGAAGGGTGTGGAAAAGATTTTGCCCCTTTCCCGGGGGTGAGTTGCTGCCTTCTGGAAGTCAGACTGAGTTAGTTCTGAGAAGCTCCAGATTCTGACACAAACTAAAGCCTTATCCTCAGATTCTACACACCAGCAGTAAGATCTACCTAAAGTCCACTCTGGTCTCCATAGAAGCCCTAACACTATATCCAGAATCATCGTCAATGATAGGAGATGAACACTGATAATAATCTGTTACCAAAGGCTGAAGGAAGCCCATGTTCCATGTGCTTTTGCTATAAATCTAACACAGGACTTGGCATTGAAATTTAAGCTCCACAACCCACTGCTGTGTGATGCTGGCAAGTTATTTAACGTCTCTGTGCCTCCTCTTCCTGATCTGCCATTAGGGCTAGTACAAGTTACTAGGTCACAGCATCATGGGGAGAATTCCATGACAATACAGTGCTTAGAACAGAGTAAATGCTCAGTGAGTGATGGGGAGCAGTGATCACTACTAAGTAGTAGTGAGGAATGAAGTTCTTATTAGTGTTGAATGAAAAACAATAAGCTTATAATGCAGACCCTCTGAGCAAAGTACCAGGAAAAGAGGGAAGGCAGCGGGAAAAGAGCTGTGAGATGCAGTAGGGAAAAAGAAAGACCATTACAGAAGGAACTGGCCTTGGCTCGCTTTAGCTCTCCAGCTGCAAGAGTGCAGAAGCAAGGAGAATGGACAGCCGGGCTCCATGTGGTCACCTGCCCCAAGGGGCAGGAAGAGAAGATCGAGAGAGCCAAGTATGGTTCTGTTTGGACCATGGACCCAGACTGCTGGCCAGTTTTGATACGGCCCCACTGTCCTGGTGTGGCTATTATTCTGTGACATGACAAAGCACATGGCAAGTGAGCTCTGTGGCACCGTGATCCAGCCATGTGGAATTAGGATGGAAGAACATCTCGCACTCTGATCAGACAGCAGCTCCAGGTTGCCTGGGAAAGAAAGGGATGGTGCCAGGAAGGGTGTCTAGAGGTAGCCTGGGCAGGGCAGAAGAGGAGGGCTGAAGCATTCCCTCCGCCCAAAGGGGTAGGGTTATTTTATGAAGGGTTCGTGAACGTTCCCTTCTGGACACGTTGTTTCACCTGGAAACTGGTTGCATCCTCACCCCTCCCCCACACGTGGGGGTCTTGTTCTCTCACCGTCTCCTTGCCTTCATGCTGTGTTGGAAACTGAGACAATCGGGACCAATCAGATCCATCTTGGCGGTTCTGAATCTAGAGCCCCCAGGCTCTGGTGTGCAGCAAGAGGACAGAGCCGGCATGCAAGGAGCAGCAGAGGAGAATCAGAGGGAGAAGGCAGAGGGGTCTAAGCCTCTGGTTCCATGGTCCCTGAAGCCCAACTAGCCTGTCCTTGGCTTCCAGGAGACCCAAGGGACCAGGGCCCTGAGAATAAATTCCTTTTTTCTAGTTCACTTGGATTTCTGTCAACCCAACAGTTCCCCCAAAGCACGTTTATTTTGCTGCCAGGCTCACAATTCCCTCTGTGGGTACACATGGCTGTCTAGTTGGGGCTAGAGCCCACAGAAGCAGGGTCCTGGGCCAGTTCTCTACCCAGGGAGTCCTGGCCTGGGGCAACTTGTGAATGAGTACACAGAAGGTGGGCTGGGGAGGCAACCAGTGACAGGAAGGAATGAAAAGAAGACTTTCCTCTCTGATCAGGATATTTAGGGCAGGAGTTACATTTGGCCCAAATTCCCCTGATAAACACTCATGTGGACAAATCTGGTTTTCACACAGCCTCTGCCTGTGTGGGGTGGGGATCAGAAGGGAAGGAAGGCAATCCCCCGGACGTGATGCAGATGTTTCTTGGACTGCTGGGCTAATGGGGTATTCCTTACTATTTACTCGGGAGTCAGGATTTTGAATGAATATTGGCTACACAGATCTCCTTACCCAACTAGACATAAATAAGTGTGCAAATGTGCTAACAACATTAACACCATTTCTAGAAGCGTGCGACTCAGTATTTGGAAAGTGCTTGTACATGGAATAAATCTAATTTGTTACAATAATTAGAGGCAAAACAAACCTGAAATATCACTAGATCAGCTTCCTGAACCTTTTTCTGTTCGTCAGTTATGTCACTGGCCAGAGACCTCTTCTTAAAGGCTTCATATACTTCCACCCCATAGTTGAAGAACTCGGGATTAGAGGGAGCACCTGGAGAAGAACAGGCCAAATATTCACGCTCTCACATGCGCATCCACAGCCCATCCTGGCCAATCCCACTAGCATCCCCGTTACCTGGACTCCCTAAAGCAAGTCGCCAGACATTCACTGAGACCCCACCAGGTGTTGGGCCCTGGGGTCAGGCCATGGGAATAAAAAGAGAGGAAGCTACTGTTCTCACCTTCGGAGGGACTCAAAGTCCAGTAAGAGTAGATAAATAACCAAATGATTAACATACAAAACAATAGTTAGGTAGCTCAGTCTGATGTTACGGCCAGATAAGCCTCCTGTCTTACAATCAAGATGCTTGTGGTCTAACTCAGTACAGCAGTGCCCGGCTCTGCTTGTTTGGGTTGGTGATGAGCTTTGTAAACCAGGCTTTGAAGGTGGATTGGGAGTTCACCAGGCCACCTGGAGCCTTGGAGAGAAGAGACAGGACATTCTGGGCGTAAGACACAGAGAAGGCAGGGTGTCCGACAACCGGGCCAGCCCAGGAAAGGGCTACTAGGAGCACCTCCAGGGCAATGGGTGAAAGGCCAGGAGGGCTGCCGGTGATGTGAGTAGAGAGATGGGCCAGGTCTTGTAAGCCTTCTTAAGGAGCTTGAATTTTTCCTGCACATAGTGAGCCATGTGGCATATGCAGGGAAATACATAAATGCCCTGAAGTGGGTGTGGACGAACTCACTGTAGCAGCAGGGATTCAAGAGCAAGCGTGTGGGGGGACGGGCTCAGTCAGGCAGCAGCAGTGGGTGGTGGGAGGAGGGGGATTGGGCTAGAACTTACAGCACTGCCCACGGCAACTAAAACGAAAGAGAAGTTATTTTGATCTACACCTTCCATTGGGATCTTGTCAACCAAAAGGATTCATCAAAGGCATTAATCAGCATTAATAATAGCTTACCATTTATTGAGGACCTCCTACCTATCAGGTGCTATGCTCCATCACACATTACCTCTTCTATCTTTATAGCAACTGGTAAGTATAAGTCCAAGTCTACCGAAGAGGAAAGCGAGACTTTAGAGAGGCTGAGTGACGAGTGCAACACCACAGAGGTCTTGGTAGCAGCAGAGGTGGGAGCAGGTGTGAACACCACCCCACCACACGGGGTCTGGAGAGGAGCAGACAAACCCCCAGCCGCGTGGAGAGGAACTGAAAGGACAACTGAATCCACAGTCCTTCAACAGACTCATCCACTTCAAAACCAGTGGCTCCTTAACATAAGAGTCTGTTTTCCCAGTCCCTGCTCTGTTATTTCTTTCTTTTTTTTTTTTTAAAGATTTTATTTATTTATTTGACAAAGATAGAGAACACAAGTCGGCAGAGCAGCAGGCAGAGTGAGAGGGAGAAACAGGCTCCCCGCTGAGGAAGGAGCCCGACGTGGGGCTCGATCCCAGGACCCTGGGATCATGACCTGAGCCGAAGGCAGCCGCTTAACTGACTGAGCCACCCAGGTGCCCCTGCTCTGTTATTTCTTAAGTGAAAACTGTTGACTGATTTATTAAAATGGAAGAAAGACAAGAAGATACAGGATGTCAGCTGTTACCATCAAAATTAAATATTAAATCTTGGGATTATCATTAACAAAATAAAGCCTTGGCATATAAAAAAAAAAAAACACAATTACAAACAGGAGGAAATTAAAGGTATTAAATACTGGAAAGGCCGAAGTGAAATTATCATTATTTGCAGATGATTTGATTGTCTATCAGGAAAGCCCCAGAGAATCAGCTGAAATCTACTACAAACAGGAAGAAAATCAGGCGTGGCTGGATACACACACACTCGCAGGCACAGAGACAGAGATTCGCCCTCTTCACGGAGAGAAACAAAAACCAATTCACAAGAATTATGCAAGATCTGCATGAAGAAAACTTGTAAAGAGAGCTGCAGGGTTGTAAAGGAAGACATGAGCAAATGAAAAGCCATACCATTCTCCTGGGTAGCATCAGCATAATAAAAGTTCATCTGTAAATTTAATGGAATCTCAATAAAAATATCATCTGGTTACTTTTTGAATCTGGAAAGTTAATTCAAAAGATTTTATAGAAAAGTAAAGTAAAATTAGCTAGAAAAAATAGAAAATAAGGCAAACATGGAGACCTAATACTATCAGATATTCTATCACTTGCCAAAATAATTAAAGCCATGTGGTACTGAATCCATAAGAGATAGAAAAAAAAAAACCAATAGAATACAAAGTATAGAACAGAATCAAATGTACATGGGAATTTAAATCACAGTGAAGGTGGCATGGAACTGGAGGGGATTATGCTAAGCGAAATAAGTCAATCAGAGAAAACAATTATCATATGATTTCACTCATATGTGGAATTTAAGAAACAAAACAGATGAATATAGGAGAAGGCATGGAAAAATAGAATAAGATAAAAACAGAGAGAGGCAAACCATAAGAGACTCTCAATCTTAGGAAACAAACTGAGGGTTGCCAGAGGGGATTGGGGTGGGGGATGGGGTAACTGGGTGATGGACATTAAGGAGGGCACGTGATGTGATGAGCACTGGGTGTTATATACAACTGATGAATCACTCAACTCTACCTCTGAAACTAATAATAAAAAAAAATACTAGGGGAAAAAACTAAAAAACCCCCATCATGTTGTATACCTTAAATATATATAACTTTTGTCAATTATGTCTTAATGCAGCTGGAAAAAAGAGAAAATGCTTCTTACATAAACACAAAGACAGTGCTTACAGTGACAGAAAGGCAAATCAGAACTATACTGGGAGACCATTTCTCACCTGACAGACTGGCAATTATCAAAAATTGGTCATGCAGAGGAAATGAGCACTTGCAAACATGCTGGTGCGAGTGTAAACTGGTCCATTTACTATTTGATATTATCTATGAAAATCAAAACTGCACCTTCCCTCTGACCAGCAATTCCACCTCTAGACTCACCCACATATGTAGGAAAACACGCATGGCCATGATTCTTCCTTGCAGCTGTTTGTAATAGGAAAAGATAAGGAATGATCTGAAATGCCCTTCAGTGGGGGCTACTTGAACTATGACACCTCCACACAATGAATACTTTGGGCAGTAAAAAACAAATGCAATGTGCAAAACATGTAAAATATGCTACCATTTTGAAGCAAAGGAGAGAAAATGGAGAATATGCCCATAATTGCTTTCCATTGCACAGACGTCTCTGGAGGGACACAGAGACAAGTGAGCACCCTGGTGACCTTGCGGGCAGGGACACGGGTGGCTGGGGGACAGGGATGGGAAAAAGACTTGCCATGTGGACTCCTTTGACTTCAGAACTGGGTCTCATGTGCAATGGTGAGTTTTTTCAAAACTTTTTTTCCATTAAAAAACTAGAAAGAAGAACGTTAAAAAACCAGGAGCACTTGGGTGGCTCAGTCGGTTAAGTGTCTGGCTTCAGCTCAGGTCATGATCTCAGGGTCCTGGGATCGAGCCCCTCGTCATTGGGCTCCCTGCTCAGCGGGGAGTCTGCTTCTCCCTCTGCCCTTCACCCTGCTTATGCTCTGTCTCTCTCTCAAGTAAATAAATAAAATCTTTAAAAAAAAAGTAAAAAAAAAAAAAACCCAACCGTTTAGCCCACAACTCACCGATGACATCTTTCTTGGTGGCCCGCGGCTCGAAGTCCATGGCGTACAGGTCTGACACGGTGATGGTGCAGCCCTGTCTGCTGAGCTCCTCCATTGCCACTTTCTTCAAGGAGCCGTTGATAGACCTGGGTTCTTGGTGAGCATAGACAATGAGCACTTTCTTGCCTGTATCAGAAAACAAATGATGTCTCTTGAAAAACAATTCCTCTTTGTCAAAATTCCACGAAGACTAAGATAACAATGAAATGCGTAGGTGCATCATAGGCTCAAGAAATACCAACCTTTGTCATGGGTGACAGTTTTAACGTAACGAACGTTCCTAAGACTCCAGTTATAACATAGCTCACTGCTACCTGAGTTTACTAATGCACAAATGTAAAATGGGGCAAATAAGGATTCCTCAAAAACCACACCACAAATTTCTTGAAAAGCCCAAGCTATCGTGGGTTTTCTCTATCAGAGGTTTCTGCCCCGTTGACGAACATCAAAATTGAAAGCTACCATAACTAATCTCTCCTGCTAACCCTACTTTGGCAGGCATCAGCTACGGACATACAGCTTTGCCTCCTTCTCCTCTAGGCCCACTGAAATGGGACAAGTAAACAAGATCTTGAAAATCAGACCCCTAACCTGGGGGGGAGGCAGGGCCTAGATGGAGCCCCACTTTGGGTGGCAAGGCTGATGACAAAGAAATTCTGAGTCAGGTCTTACAGGTCCTGGCTGTGCCATTAATACCAACAGCCTCTGAAGCAATATTTCCCTCGTTCTGAAGACTCTGGGAGATCACGTACTGATTTCTTCTGGGAGGCGGCTTTGGTCATCTGCTTAAATTAGCCCTTAGTAATAATGTCTAAGACTGGGCGCCTGGGTGGCTCAGTCGTTAAGTGTCTGCGTTCGGCTCAGGTCATGATCCCAGGGTCCTGGGATGAAGTCCCATATCGGGCTCCCTGCTCCAAGGGATGCCTGCTTCTCCCTCTCCCACTCCCCCTGCTTGTGTTCCTGCTCTTGCTATCTCTCTGTCAAATAAATAAATAAAATCTTAAATAAAAAAAAAATAATGTCTAAGACTAAAATGTTTGAACTCTTGATTTTAATTTTTCATTTTAGGCCCCTAAGGAGGATACCAATGTTAGTTTGAAGCAAACAGTTCTGGGCACTCAACTGGATATAAAGGTTGGATTCCATGGGTTAGGTTAAAGGTTAACGTTTTTAACTTCTCAGACTCACTGGTGACACAGGAAATCTACCAATGGACACAAATGAAACATCTACATCAGTGGTTCTCAGGTGGGGGCAGTGTTGCCTCCCACGGGGACAGCTCAAAATGTCTGGAGACACTCTGGGGTGTCACAGCTAGGGAGAAGGTGTTGCTGGCATCTGGTAGACAGATACCGTAAGTGCTGCTAGACATCCTGCACCAAACAGGACACGCCGCACCAACGGATTACTGGCCCAGGATGTCAGTAGTGCTGAGGTTCAGAGAAGCCCTAGTCTACACCGTACTGCGTAAAATAAGGTTGACTTTATATTCTGAAATGAAAGAATTTTTATGCCATATTGTTGAGAGGAAAAAAAAGTTACAGCATGGGGTGTGTATGTTTGTGTGTGCTTATGGGTGTTTGTGTGTGTGTATATGTTGAGAAAGGACAAGAGTAAAAACTGAGTCGTACTGAATTTTATTTTTTTAAAGATTCTATTTACTTGACAGAGAGAGAGAGAGAGAAGCACACACAAGCAGGGGGAGCAGCAGAGGGGGAGGGAGAAGCAGACTCCCAGCTGAGCAGGGAGCCCGATGCAGGACTCAATCCCAGGACCCTGAGATCATGACCTGAGCCGAAGGCAGATGCTTAACCAACTGAGCTACCCAGGTGCCCCGAGTCGTACTGAATTTTTTCTTTTTAAGATATTTTTATTTATTTGACAGAGACACAGCAAGAGAGGGAACACAAGCAGGGGGAGTGGGAGAGGGAGAAGCAGGCTCCCCGCGGAGCAGGGAGCCT